GGATCCATGCTGGTCGCAAACACACCATGTTGCTTGTCATGGCGCAGCTCAAATATGTTTGTTGGTTGATCAGTGTATGTTTGTAGACAGCAAAACGTGTTTATTTATTATGACTCACTGAATATGTACATTCATATACTAAAAACAATTAACAGTTATAATATCTACAATAAAATTGAGCAATTTTGCTCCAAGTTTGAGATAAACTAGGTATTTGGTGCTTCATAGAAATGTCACTTTAATGTTAATATGCCTATCCATTATCAATATAACACAGTAGTTTTAGCATCAGTTATACAAAAAGTAACATGCACTTTTTTGCTAATAAACAGTATTAAACTAAATATATAAGTTTTCTTTAGATCATTAATCATCCTGTATGTTGTAATTTAGGTTGTTACCACACTTAAGTGTAATATTATATATGTATATAATTATGCTTCTAAAACAATTTCCAAACATTCTCCCTTTATTAACATGAAATATAAACTCGGTAATATCTTTACCAAAAATGCTTTCTGGAACTTACAATTTTGATAGATCTTCATTTAAGCATTATACCTATGGTATAAAACCATACATAAATTATTGTGTTACAGGATCTACCTGTTTGTTGTAATTGAGGTTATTACCACACTTAAGTTAAATTATATATATGTATATAATTATGCTAATAAAACAATTTTCAAGAATCAAAGAATATGTAAAATATGTACTGCAAATATTTGTGCACGTCATATGTAATCATTAAAATATATGCATTAATTTTTTATTAGAAAATTTGATTTAAACTTTATAGAAAATAAATTTATAATTACCTTCCTTTATTTACATGAAATGTTAAATTCGGTAATATCTTCATAAATAATGCTTTTTGGAACTTACAATATTGATAAATCTTAATTTGAGCATCATATTTATGATATAAAACCATAAAAAATTTGTGTTACAGGATCTTTAAAACACATGAGTATACAATTTTTAAAAATTACAAATTATGAAATATTCACACTCATATAACAATAGCTTCCATTACCAGCATTGGAAACAAGAATTTTGCGATATGTACAATGAAAGTTGAGGAGATATTTTAGAGCTGTCATTGATTCAGTGCAAAGAATATTGATGATACATCAATATCGGCAATATCGCCGATATAGCGATAATTACTATTATTTTCTTATATATAATACTTTTTCATACCTGTTTAAATGATTTTAGTAATGTAAATATGTTGTGTACCTTTGCATGATTTTTTTCTGATTATATTTTGTCATAACTGCTATGAAATGTGTCCATTATGTAACAACAGCTTATTGTTAGACATGGCCATCTGCTTTGTGTATGTTTTTAGTGAAATTTCATTATTTATAGACATTTAAACAATTAATCAAAATAATCAATTTTTCAACCATGTATCGATTATTGATTGACAAGAAAAATATCAATGATACATCGATATTGTCTCTATCGATGACAGCTCTAAGATATTTTCAGATAAGTCTGAAAGACAAATAAATTAACATTACTTCAAATTCTAACTTGTCTAAGTCATTTTTAAAAATATGCACAACAATCTGGCATTGAGTTTCTTAGTTTTTCATATTAGAAAAATAATATAAATGAAACAACATTTTAATTTCTACAAATGTTTCAACAAAAATATGACACATTCTTTAAATGCCACTTTTTAAAGAGAATAAAAAACAAGCACTACTACACAAGAGTGACTGTAAATTTAAACAATAGACATTTGTGCATCTTGAACACATCCATACTGTACCAAATTCTAAACAATAAACACATTACATCAACTTTTTTATATTCTATATAGTCATAACCTATTTAAGTAGCTATACATATTTGATACACTTCTGTCAAAGATGCTTGTATAATTTCTGAAGAATTTTCAAAACTACAGAATTTAACTCAATTCTTATTCAATCACTGAATGGGTATTTTCTGGACCATTTTTACTGAACAATTTTGTCTCATATTATTGCTTTTATATTTTTTGATTCAGTTTTAAGCCAAACAAATACTACAGACAGTGAGTACCCAGAAATCTCATTATACAAGTAATAAATACCAGTAAGTACACAGAAATCTTGGTATACCATTAATTGATATTTTTTTAAGATAACAGCTGAAGAGGAATAGTGTTACAAAATTACAAAGAACATGATTTGTAACTCAAGTTTTAAACAAGAAACATGGCAAGGCCATGAAACCAGGTTTTCAATTATCACCATTGTAGATAAATATGTTGTAGTTGAAATAAAATACAAGCAACAAACAATGTAACTATGTGCAATGTAAATCATGGATAATGAATTTTCTTTTTTTAGTAACTGCTACCTTGACCCTAGGGAGCCAAAAAGCCATCCCAAGTGAGGTCTTTATAAAAACTTGCTTTACATCAAATTTCATAAAATTATCTTATTCTAAACTAGTTATTGACTGGAAACCTATTTTCTATTTTCAGTAACAGTGACCTGACTGGAAACAGATTTTCAATTTTAGCAACAATGACCTTGACCTTGACTTTACAGGACCCAAAAGAAGGTAGATGAGCTGCTGGCATGCAACAACCTAGAGAGTTTCTGTTTTGTAACTAAATCAAGTTTGTTGTGATTAAAAGGATATATTAGACTAATAATAAAATTTTATGGAAAAAACAAAGGGCCATAATTAGGTAAAAACTTATCCAATTACAAAACCCCTACAACATGCATCAGGGCACTTGATGACAAAGCTTCTGTGAAAGTTTGAACAAATTCCCTTAAGAAATGTAGAAGGAGTTGCGCAACAGAAGAAAATGTTCATTATATATTCTGTATAAAGAAAAAAACAAAGTGGCATAATTAGGTAAAAAAATTATCCAATCACAAAACCTCAACAATATGCATCAAGACACTTAATGACAAAGCTTCTGTAAAAGTCTGAAAAAAATCCTTTGAAAAATATAGGAGGAGTTGCACACAGAAAAAATTGTGCACTATATATTCTATATAAGAAAAAAACAACAAACACAAATGCCCCCGGCTCAGATTCTTGTCAGTAGCAATACTTCAAAAAATGTTTACCCATTCACTCACTTATGGACAGAAAAATCTCCAAAAAATTGTGAACACAAGTTTTATAGCTTGACAAAGTCATGGCATTTTGTAATTGTGAAAAATATAAGTTGCCAAGTCATTGCTCTGACTTGTGAAGTTGAAAAATATTCAACTTCATGGCAAGTTATCTTCCTACCAAATATGAAATACATCTGTCATTAAACAAAGGCTGTTGTATGGGCAAAACTGTAAAAAATCTATTTTGAAGCACTGGTGACCTTGACCAAACTGACCCCTAACTCTATCCAAAAGAAAGAATACCATGTAAGTTGTCTTCCTACCAAAAATGAAATACATCTGTCAATAAATAAAGGCTGTATGGGCAAAAGTGTAAAAATCTATTTTTAGCACTTGTGACCTTGACCCAACTGACCCCTTATTCCATCCAAAGGCGAAGAATACCATGCAAGTTATCTTCCTACCAAATAGGAAATACAACTGTCAATAAATAAAAAGCTGTATGGGCAAAAGTGTAAAAATCTATTTTTAGCACAAGTGACCTTGACCCACTGATCCCAACCACAATCAAAAGGATGAATACCATGCAAGTTATCTTCCTACCAAATATAAAATATATCTGTCACTTAATAAAGGCTGTATGAGCAAATGTGTAAAAATCTATTTTTAGCACTAATGACGTTGACCAAACTGACCACTAACTCCATCAAAGTTTATGTTTCTATCAATTATAAATAACATCTGTCTATAGAATAAGGTCAATACACCTGTAAAAATGTAAAAATCTATTTTTAACATTGGTGACCTTGACATTGGTAACATTGACCTTGACCCGAATGACCCCATACTACACCCAAAGAAGGAGGTGTTTGTATTAAACTTAGTCATCATCTAAAAAATAAAAGCTGTATGAGCAAAAAGGTTTATATTTATTTTTTAAACCAGTGACCTTGACCCTAGAGACCGCTTACTCAAAAAAAAAAAAAGAGAACCATCAAAGGTATCCACCTACTAAATATGAAAGATATCAGTAAAGAAATTAAGCAATTAGGAGAAATTTAAGATAAATCCAACTTGCCGAAATAGGTTAACCAGACAAGGCCCTATTTTCAAAGTGAAAAAAGGGAAATAACTGGGAAATATGGATGACACAGTTATATAACTTGGCAATATCATGTGCTTTGTATTGATAAGTAAGTGTGCTAATTATAAAGCCATTAGTATAGATAGAACTTAAGATATTTCCAACTTGCCGTTTTAGGTTAACCATTATTCATTTTCTAAGTGCTGAAAAGGGCAATAACTTGGCAAATATGAAAGCCAGAGTTATGAAACTTGCCCAGATCACGTACTTTGCATTGATTAGTAAGTGTGTAAACTTAGAAGCCATTGGTACAGGTAGAACTTAAGAAAAATCCAACTTGCCGTTCTAGGTTAACCTCGTACGGACAGACGGACGGACGGACGGTTCAATTACTATATGCCCGGGGGGCATTAAAACAAAGGGCCATAATTAGGTCAAATATTATCCAATCACAAAACCCCAAAAATATATGTAAGGGCACTTGATGACAAAGCTTCTGTGAAAATTTGGTCAAAATCTGTTGAGAAATGTAGGAGGAATTGCACACAGAAGAATTTATTCACTATATATTCTATATAAGGAAAAAAAACAAAGGGCCATAATTAGGTCAAATATTATCCAATCACAAAACCCAGACAATATGCGCCAGGGCACTTGATGACAGAGCTTCTGTGAAAGTTTGGTCAAAATCCGTTGAGAAATGTAGGAGGAGTTGCGCACAGAAGAAATTGTTTACGCCCTCCCGCCCATCCGCCCGCCGACATACCTCAATCTAATAACCAGTTTTTTCCTTCGGAAAACCTGGTTAAAAATGCATCATAATAAAATACTACACAGGAATGATATAATCATCTTAAACAGAAGACCCTATATAACATTACATGTATGAGGGAAATAACAAGTAGATTCAATAGCTAGTTTATTATGAACTTAGACTTGGACTGTTGTTCTGACTATTACTCTGGCTGTTACTCAACACACTACTTGATTTCTTGCTCTTTGACAATACAATCACTTGTTTACTTAGCTCACGATTCTTTTTTTCTAACTCACGATTCTTTTCCTGCAAAAAATTAAATCATGTAAGTAAATGTATATTGTCAATTTTTGTTTAATACAATGTATAATAGATAATTATACGTGAATAAAAAATGTTATTTCTACATGTATTGATTTTGAAAGACAAACAGATTGAAGACAAAGAGTCCAGGCTAGAAATAAGACTATTCAAAATGTTAAAGAAGACATGTTTAAGCTAGGAATGTGTCTATAGGACAATGATGTTGCCACATTCCACTTTTTATCACATAAAGTCAGTACTTCTACTATTGCATACATGTATAAACATATAAGTTACTTTTTTAGTTACACATGACTAAAGTCTATACATCCTTATTTTTGCTACACATGACTAAAGTCTATATATCCTTATTTTTGCAACAATGGGTCTGCATAACTCTGCTAACTGGAAATAAATTTGAAACAAATTTTTTGTACATTCACATGATTGCATTTATTCTAAGAAAGTTCCTTTACTCCAGCACTTATACCTTTAAAGATCCTGTAACACATTATTTTTATGGTTTTATATACAAATTATGATGCTCAAATTAAGATTTATCGATATTGTAAGTTTCAAAAAACATTATTTATAAAGATATTACCGAATTTAATATTTCATGTAAATAAAGGGAGGTAATTAGAATTTAGTTTTCTATAAATTCTAAGTCAATTTTTCCAATAAGAAATGAATGCATATAATTTAATGATTACCTTAAATGTGTACAAATATTTGCAATACATATTTTACATATTCTTCTATGTTTGAAAATTGACAAATTTGCATAATTACATACATATATAATTCAATGAAGAGTGGTATGCAATCTAAATTACAAAACATACAGGATCTTTAAAGTAACACACAACACCAGTCTAACAAGAGCTGTCCGTAAGACAGCGCGCTCGACTTTTTTATTGCTTGCCAATAAAAAAAGTTTTTGCAGTAAAAGGCAATACAAGAATCTCTGTATTTTTAAAGTGAACAATGGCCATGAGCATTAAGATATTTAGTATATTGGACATGTTTGGGAATCATGATTGTAAACAAGTATTCCAACTTTCAAATTAATATCTCAAACAGTTCAGTCAAAAAGTGGACTGGTACTAAAAACTTAACCAAGATTCTAAGTCGATAAAAGGCCTTAATTTTTAAAACAAATCCTTGACAGAGTTACCTTCTCTTGCGTACAGATGGGGGTAATGATGTGAAATAGCATTAAAAGTTTCAAAGCAATATCTCAAAGGGTTAAGGCAATAAGTGGATTTTACCCATATTCAATGTATTTTCTAAGTCAAAAAGGGGCATAATTCTGTCAAAAACCTTGACAGAGTTATGTCCTCTTGTCTGTTGATGAAGGTCGTGATGGTAAACAAGTATGGTCAGTTTCAAAGCAATACCTCCAATGGTTTTGAAATAAAGTGAGGTGGTACAAAAAACTTAACCAAGCTCAATACACTTTCTAAGTCAAAAAAGGGCCATAATTCTGTCAAAAACCTTGACAGAGTTATGTACTCTTGTCTGTAGATGGAGGTTATGATGGTGAACAAGTATGGTAAGTTTCAAAGCCATACTTGTAATACTTCTGAAACTAGAACTATCACTAAATGTGATTAATACCCCCACAAGACTGCTTAGGAAATGAGGATGTTACTAGTAACAGAATACCTTGTAAAAGAATTGAAATATACAGTTATGGTTGTGGGCAATTAAAGATAGTTGTGGTTCTTGTATGTTGCATTTCCTTTCAATGTGGTTAGCCATTGATGAAGTTTAATTGAATAACTCAGTAATAAGTCCAGAAAGACAAAGAAAAGGAATAAAGGGCAATAACTCTATAAATACTGAAGATAGAGTTATAGTTCTTGTGCACTGCACTTCCTCTTATTGTGCTTGACCATTATATGAAGTTGTTTTGAATTCCAACCAGTATGTTTTAAGTTATGCTCCTGACAAGGAAAAGTATCAAAGGGCAGTAACTCTGTATTTTGTCAAAAAGGAGTTATGGCTCTTGTGCACTGCACTTCCTTTTAATGTCCTTGACAACTGTATGAAGTTGTTTTGAATTCCAAACAGTAGTTTTCAAGTTATGCTATGGACAAGGAAAAATAACAAAGGGCAATAATTCTGTAATTAGTCAAGATGGAGTTATGGTTCTTGTGCACTGCACTTCCTCTCAATGTGCTTGACCATTGTATGAAGTTATATTGAATTCCAACCATTAGTCTTCAAGTTATGGTCCGGACAAAAAAAGCAATGGAAAAGTTACAAAGGGCAATAACTCTGTAATAACTTTAGATAGAGTTATGGTTCTTGTGCACTGCACTTCCCCTTATTGTGTTTGACAATTGTATGAAGTTGTTTTGAATTCCAACTTGTAGTTTTCAAGCTATGCCCAGGAACAAGGAAAAGTAACAAAGGGCAATAACTCTGTAATTAGTCAAGATAGAGTTATGGTTCTTATGCACTGCACTTCTTTTCAATGTGCTTGACCATTGTATGTAGTTATATTGAATTCAAACTATTAGTCTTCAAGTTATGGTCCGGACAAAAAAAAGCAATGGAAAAGCAACAAAGGGCAATAACTCTGTAATTACTTTAGATAGAGTTATGGTTCTTGTGCACTGCACTTCCCCTTATTGTGTTTGACAATTGTATGAAGTTGTTTTGAATTCCAACCAACTGTTTTCAAGTTATGCCCCGGAGAAGGAAAAGTAACAAAGGGCAATAACTCTGTAATTAGTCAAGATAGAGTTATGGTTCTTGTGCACTGCACTTCCTCTCAATGTGCTTGACCATTGTATGTAGTTATATTAAATTCAAACTATTAGTCTTCAAGTTATGGTCCGGACAAAAAGAAGCAATGGAAAAGCAACAAAGGGCAATAACTCTGTAATTACTTTAGATAGAGTTATGGTTCTTGTGCACTGCACTTCCCCTTATTGTGTTTGACAATTGTATGAAGTTATTTTGAATTCCAACCAGTAGTTTTCAAGTTATGCCCCGGACAAGGAAAAGTTACAAAGGGCAATAACTCTGTAATTAGTCAAGATAGAGTTATGGTTCTTGTGCACTGCACTTCCTCTCAATGTGCTTGACCATTGTATGTAGTTATATTAAATTCAAACTATTAGTCTTCAAGTTATGGTCCGGACAAAAAGAAGCAATGGAAAAGCAACAAAGGACAATAACTCTGTAATTACTTTAGATAGAGTTATGGTTCTTGTGCACTGCACTTCCCCTTATTGTGTTTGACAATTGTATGAAGTTGTTTTGAATTCCAACCAGTAGTTTTCAAGTTATGCCCCGGACAAGGAAAAGTAACAAAGGGCAATAACTCTGTAATTAGTCAAGATAGAGTTATGGTTCTTGTGCACTGCACTTCCTCTCAATGTGCTTGACCATTGTATGTAGTTATATTGAATTCCAACCATTAGTCTTCAAGTTATGCTCCGGACAAGGAAAATGCAACGGACGTCTGGACCGACCGACCGACCGACCAACCGACCGCCCGACCGACCAACCGACCGACCGACCGACCGACCACCGGGTGACTCCTATATACCCCCCCAAACTTCGTTTTTGGGGGTATAATAAAGTGGGGTGGTACGAAAAACTTAACCAAGGTGTGACGCCGACGCCGACGCCGCGGCGAGTAGGATAGCTCCCCTTTTCATAGAAAAGTCGAGCTAAAAATGCTATTTTATGCTTATTAGGTGACATAACACGAACATTTGTTTGTTTGTTTGTTTCATTTTACGCCTTTTCCAACAGTATTTCTGTCATATAGGCGGGTAGTTTCCTAACCATCGTTCCTGGAGAGTTACACCAGTACTAGACTACCTTCCTCCGCGCTAAACTACCAAAGCATCTCCCGGGGATCGAACCCACGCCAGAGAGGTAACTGGATTAGAAGTCATCGACTCTAACCCCTCGACCACGGAGGCGGCTCAACATAACACGAACAAGGCAAGGGCAAATATATATATGCCCCTACCCCTTACCCATATGAACGGGGCATAAAAAAGAATATATTTACCTGTAGAGTCTCTACAGCTTTTCCATTTGTCTTGGTCATGTCACTCAGTTTAGATCTAAAGGTTTTCTCACTCTCATATTGAGCAGCTTTCACTTCTGTCATCTGTAACATAAAGGAAACAAAGTCTCTAAGCTAATTTGTACTTTAACAGTACATACATGCTATTACACTGCAATGGTACTGCAGTTTTAAAACACATGTATAACATTGATAAATTGATAATCTCAGAGAATTTTTAAAAGAGTTTGCATTGGTGATAAATCTTTAAAATCCTTATAGTGAAATGAACAATGCCACCCATATACCGGTACTTCATTGAACAAGAAAATTGAATAGCAACAGTTAAAATTCACTGGTATCTAAGTACCAGTTTTTCTCATCTGAACAGCAGGAAGAACTTACTCATACTATAAAAAGTATTTAAAGTTTTCTTGTACAAGCAATTGAGTACCTTTTTCTCTTTTTCTAAGAGTTGCTGATCCTTGAGACTAAGTTGTTTTTTGAGGTTATCTAGTTGCTCCTGTAGTCTGTTGATTGCTATAATATGCTCAGAACTGTTTGGGTCTACAGGAGATTTCTCTGTTGCCAACACTGATGTTTTAGTTGGTGTAAGAGTACCAGTCATTCCATTAGAGTCACTGTTTTCTAGACGAGGCCGTTTGCTAGGAGAACGGGGGCTATGAGATCTTTATAAAGAAATATAATCAAAATTTTAAAGATCCAAAGGTTCGAAGGGTGTATTTAATAAATTTGAATCTTGAACTTTTAAAAATTATCTTGCATTCTAGCACTATCACCAAAATATTCACTATGTTTCAAGTTAATTTTATCCATACCTGTAAACATCAAAGAAATTGAAAAAAAAGGCTCAAAATGATTTTACATCTAATTTGATTGCAACTATCAGAAATAATTTATAGAACAATATTTCCCAACATATAATGACGAAATTGAGAAAGATTTAAGTTTATCAGCATGACGTAAGCTTTTATTTATTTTACTGTCAAACTTGTACAGTAATGTTCATGCTTTATAAAGTAAAGATAAGTAAAGATTACACTTACCTTTTGTGATGATGATGATGCTTTGACTTGTGATGATGGTGGTGATGATGATGACGATGTTTATGAGGCCCTTCTTTACTTCCTTCTTCCTTCACTTTTGTTACTACATCACTTGAGTCATTGCTTTTTTCATCTTTGTGTTCACGAAGAAAATCAAATGAAGATGCAAATGAGGGTGGTGTTGACTTTTCCCCAACAGACAAATTTAAGAGAGATTTTGAATCTTTCTGAGGAGTTTTAGCAGGCTGGGAATTACTTGCATTATCAAATGGTGAGATTTTATCTCGGCTATTACTACCTGAACTTGTATTCTCATTTTTTTCAAGTTTATTTTCTGCTTTATCTAGCTTGTCAAGTTTATCATAGCTACTAGGATTAGACCTTAATCCCTGTCGTTTTTGTTCCTGTCGCTGTTTCGCCTTTTCTAAAACACGCTTATATGCTAAAGCACATAGCCAACATAGAGTTTTGCCGTCCATCTGAAATGCAAATTCAATTCTTTTTAATTTCAAAAATATATTTGTAGCAAATTTTTTATTTGAGTCGGAGTGAGCACAAAAACTTCTTTTTTCTCTAGAAGAATTTTTAAGAGACTGACAAAAGACAAACAGAACAAAATAATACTGGGTAGTCTTTAAGCAAAACCAAACTCATTGTGGCATGATGAAATGTTTCTTTCAATTTCATTTATAATTGATATAGGGTACAAATTTTTAAAGCAAAAAAATTTAAAAACAAAAAATTAGTGTATGTAATTTATTTGTTGCTTCATTTTACCTTGGATCTTGTCCTCTCAGACTTATCAAATGCACATTTCATTTTACATTGTTCACATGGCAATGGTGAGCCGAATTTCTTCTCATATGCTGTACATCGTTGACATTTGTTGTCTACAAATGCAGCTGTTAGGTTACAAAACCTGCATACAGTTGGCTGGAAAAAGATCAGTATTTAACATCACAGAATCATCAATTTAAATATTTCAATCATTAGTATACTAATACTACTCACAATTTAAACATTCCATTTCATTTAAACCATAACTTTCCATTTCAACTGATAATATCTAAGGCTTGTAGCTTGATATACCTAGCCATGTAAAGAGCTATACAGTTTTACACATGAACTTGTTAAGATATCATTTTAAAGTTAGGATTGTCTTTTTTTTAAAGTTTTAAAAATGGGTCAAAGACAGAAAAGGCCGGGTTGCATATGTATACAAAATATCATGAGGCTGTGATGTTACTTAAATTTTCTACCACTGTCTTGACCATTGATGTTGAAAATTTAACTTAGTTGGTAAACCGAAAAAGAATGAGCATCAGACCTGAAATGGAATCCCACAATATGGGACCACATGTCAATGCTGTGAACCACATATCAAGAAGCTGTGGTAAGTAGTTGCTGACAAAAACTGTTATGAAAATTTCTACTATCTATTGATCATTAATTATGTCAAAATTTAACTAAGTCGGCAAACAGGAATTGGATGAGCAACAGACCTGAAATCAAATCCCACTGTATGGGACCACATGATAATGCTGTATATCAAAAGGCTGTGATAAGTAGTTGCCAAGAAAACTGTTACGAAAATTTCCTACCATTGACCATAAATGTAGAAAATTTAACTAAGTTGGCAAACAGGAAGTGGATGAGCGACAGACCTGAAATCGAATCCCACAGTATGGGACCATATGTTAATGCTGTATGCCAAATATCAAGAGGCTGTGATAAGTAGTTGCTGAGAAAACTGTTACGAAAATTTCCTATCATGACCATTAATGTTGAAAATTTAACTAGGTCGGCAAACAGGAGTAGATTAGTAACAGGACTGACATCAAATCCCACGATATGATACCATGTGTTGATGCTGTATACCAAATATCAAAAGGCTGTGATAAGTAGTTGCTGAGAAAACTGTTACGAAAATTTCCTACTATGGACCATTAATGCTGAAAGTTTAACTAGGTCAGCAAACAGGAAGTAGATGAGAGACAGACCTGAAATCGAATCCCACAGTATGGGACCATGCGTTGATGCTGTATACCAAATATCAAAAGGCTGTGATAAGTAGTTGCTGAGAAAACTGTTACGAAAATTTCCTACTATTGACCATTAATGCTGAAAATTTAACTAGGTCGGCAAACAGGAAGTTGATGAGCGACAGACCTGAAATCGAATCCCACACTATGGGACCATGCGTTGATGCTGTATACCAACTATCAAAAGGCTGTGATAAGTAGTTGCTGAGAAAACTGTTACGAAAGTTTTTTCCCCGCCCGCCCGCCGCCCAACATTCACCATACTATAACCCGGGTTTGCACCAGTGCAACCCGGCCAAAAATAGAATTACAATAGCATTATTACCTCTCCATGAAGTTTGATATTGTAAGTGCAATGTTTACAGTTATGATTTGTGGAGCCTTTCCTGCAAATAGAAACATGTATACCACATATACTTCTTCACATGGATTACATTCTTTTTAAGTTAAAATATATCATATACAAATGTATATCATTTACTTTGCAGAATGAATTGTAGCTGTATACAGATCTTAAATATTTTATTCAAATTGTTTAAACATGCAAAGAAATGCCTGTAAAAAAAACACAAAACTATACTAACTCTCCTGGTGTGTATTCTGCCCTGCATGCCGAGCACTTCACTACTGGCTGATAGTTGCGACAACCCTGAAATAATAATAGTACAACATGTCCTATCATTTCATTTATATAATTTATTACTCAAATTTAAAATGCTCAAGCAAATAAAGGTACTTTTTTGTAAACTAAACAGATATATTTAAACAAGCCATAAAATGGGTTGGACCACAGGCCCAGCAAGAGCTGTAATGCTCTTACATGTAGATTACACGTATGATGTGTATAAGTTAATTTGAAATCATATTAAAATTAATAAAAATATATGCCAAAGGCTAACAAGTTTGAGAAAAAATCTAAGTTAGAATGGTGCCACCATATCCAATTTTTTGGACTGGTTCTATTACAGATTACAGTGGTAAAGGGTCAACTCCGCCCTATACAAACTCGGCACGGGTCAGCTCTGCCCTTTAAGGATATAGATTGTTTAGTAATTTACTTTCAGTAGCAATAAAATTACTATAAAACTGTTAAAGTAATTAAGAGGTAGTACGATCACTAACAATCACAATAGAAACTGAAAAAGTCAACATATTGTTTGAAATTAGCTTTGTTACTAAAAAGAAGAGATATCAAGACAAAATGATATTAAAACTGATCCATGATTGAATTTTGTGACAGTAAATGTAATTATATAAAATAATATATATACATTGTATATCTAAAATGTAAAGTTTGAAACAATACGGATAAAGGCAGCGGGAAAAAAGAAAGAAACGATGCCTTTTCCAATTTACATTGCAATTCTTTATTAAGAAAACTGTAATAATAATTGGAGAAAAATATCAACCGATTCACCAATTAAAGCTTCGTAGCGACGTTATTAACGTCATTATCTTGAAGATCCCTTTAATGGGTGAAACCGGTTGATATTTCTCTTCGCTTCATTCTTTTTCCCCGAATATATACAGGGCCAAAAAACCCTTCTTTGTAGAGGCCGAATATAGGCTACTTCCCTAACCAAACTAGCCTCTTTTTTCCCCAGTTTGGTCCTCAAAAGTCCCCAGTTTTTTTTTAATTTTCCATAGAATTTAGAACAAAATCAAATGATGGTGTTGAATTAAGGTCTTTTACTGCCTTATTAGTATTACCCAGTGCTTTTTGCTTTTCTATTTTGAAGAACTTGTTAAAAGTTTGTGTTAAATTTGAGAGTATGCCAAAATCATGCATATTTTCCAGACATGGGGTAATTGTAATCGGTAATTTAATTAAATTTAATCAATTACAATTTTTTGAGTAATCACAGTAATCAGTAATCATAATTTTTTTCCTGTAATTTAATCATAATTTAATCAATTACATGACCAATTAATCAGTAATCACAATGATTACATGTATGATTACAATACATGTTAAGCTAAAAAAAAATTGCTGCACAAACATACATATAAAGGTTAAAAAAGTACCAGAACAGAACAGAACAGAACATATCTTTTATTTTCACCCAAGCATTTTTTAATACAATATGGGGGCATAACACAATTCTTATATAACAGAGAATGCATAGTTCCGGTACGAACAAACAAAGTATATAATCATTTAACACAGTACATTGCCAATGAGGAAAAAAACACAAAAAAACTTTACTTTAGAAAAAAAATACAAATATCTTTTCTAAACTATGGAATGATATATCGAGCAGGTGTTTGTTTACTTTAAATCGATATACACCATTAATTTATTATTCTACGTGTAACTACATTTGAAAAAAATAAAAATAAGGAGGTTGTCTATTGTAATAATTTGAACAGGTATACAACACAATACGCACCTGTATGTATTTATAGCACGATATTAGGTATAAAACATTAGCACAAACATGTAGTAAATTTGCACGTGAAAGTCGTACATAACAGTTATCTACAACTGAAAGGAATGTCATTCATAGATTTATTATGTATTACTACATTTTGTTTGTTTGTCTCATTTTACGCCTTTTTCAACAGTATTTCAGTCATATAGGCGGGTAGTTTCCTAACCATCGTTCCTGGAGAGTTACACCAGTACTTGACTACCTTCCTCCGCGCTAAACTACCAAAGCATCTCCCGGGGATCGAACCCACGCCAGAGAGGTAACTGGATTAGAAGTCATCGACTCTAACCCCTCGACCACGGAGGCGGTTATGTATTACTACGTGCATTGGGAAAAATTGAAATATGAATCAATGGGACTATGTTGGATAAGTCTTTGTCAGTTAAATGTGAGTAATGGCAATTCATAAATTTTACATATAGATAATATGTAAATAACAGACATCTGTTTTATGAGAAAAAAAAACTTCATTTGTGAATAGAAAATTATATACAAAGAAAATGTTGAGAAAAAAAATTAAACACGCAATTTAAAGGAAACAAACAGTTTAACAATTTAAGTGAGAAATATTAGATGTAATCTTGAATTACTGCCATTAGGCTTTTCGGAAAGTTTTTGTAATAGAATTAATGAATTTCACGAGGCTCCTTAAAACATGTAATGTTATTTGACCCTAATAGTGATTTCAGCAAAAGTTCGCGTTCGTGTATTAAATTTGCGTTTTGGAAAAATTTGTCTTCTGAAACTACAATGTAAAAAGTAATGCTGCTCGGTGCTAGTTTGATTGTCGCTACACAATGTGCAAAGTCTTTCATTTTAAGCAGTACCATCGTATCTCCAAATTTCTACTGGAAGTTTATGATTTGATGTTCTAAATTTGAATAAAGAAATACAATCCGATTGCTTTAAAATTTAAAAATATCCTTCATGCATATGATCTTCTTTAAAACTCTTATAATTTAACCCTTTATTTGACTGTTGAAGCTGCGCGTACCAAGACTGTTTATATTAATCTATTAGTATTTGTTTGATAAGTTTATGTATATGCAAGTGATTTATTTGGGTCTGGTTTTGCCAAAGATCTGAGGGCGGCCAACGGAATTAAGAATGTCTCTTATCTTAGAGATCCATTTAAACTCATGATTAGGAAAGCTGGTCATGTGTTTGTAAAGTTGAAACGATATTTTGTTTTCTTTCCCCTTAATGAGACGATTCCAAAATGAGATCATCCTTGTTTTAATTATGATAGATATTGGATACCTTCCAAGTTCGCCCATTAGCATGACCAGTGTCAATGCCTACTAATTGTCTTAGGTAGTGTAGGTGAATTAAATGCAGTCACCCAGGTCAGATTTGATGACACCTGTGTTTTAATAAGGTGATGAAAAGATCACTGACAGATTGACCCAATACATAAATGATTGTCACAATATACCACTTAAATTTGCTGTGAAATTATAACAATGGCCTTGATAGGTATATTATCACTTATTGAGAAGACTTTACAGGTTCAGTAAAGAGCAAGTATAAGCTGCAATTACTGACAAAAGTAAGGTATGGTTATATTTTCTGTTACATTTTGGTATTGTTAAGTCCATGTAGAAGCAAAAAGTACAAAAAGATTTTCATCATATCGAAAAGAAAGCAATATGCAAGCATGGCAGGAAATATGCCTGCTGTTTTTAAATACTTCATATTGCCAGAAAAAATTCCTGATGATGGCAATGTGAGAGCTAAATGCACACTTTGCGTTTCATATATATCAGGAAATGTTCAGAGAACATCAAACTTCATTACACATTTGAATGTAAGGTTATTAATGTTATTTTTTTCACAGAACAAGCTGCATGTACATGTAATCAGTAATCATAAATGTAATCTGATTACTCCTGTCAGTAATCAGTAATTTAATCAATTACAATGTCAAAATGGAGTAATCAGTAACTTAATTTAATCAAGCATTTTGACAAATAATCATAATTTAATCGATTACAATTGTCAAGTAATCGCCCCATTAAATATTATTTTCCCCAAGAAAAAGGCTGAGGCCCCTTCCCCAAAAATTGTGTTTTGGCCCTGATATATATATAATATACATATATATTACTTAAGGAAGTAAAAAATGTATTTCTATAATTAGACAAGTTAATTAAGTATTAAGTTTGAACAGAACATTTACGTCATTTATAATGTATATTAACTTTTTAATCCGATTAGGAAGTTGATTATCACCTATAAGATAAAAGGTGATAATTGACTGTCTTATTAAATGACAATCACTAGCCTTTTGATCCAGTAAAAACTGATAGACAAGAACATAGCCTATCGTTATTAAAATTAGATCTGGTACAAAAAATATTTATTATTAAAAGTTATTTTTTGTCCTGTATTAGATTAAAAAAAAGAAAGATAATTATGATGAAAATATATAATTACTAAGCCAGTAATACATAATTATGGACCTCAGGGCTCACACTGGCTCAAATAAAATAATAGCCAATATTTTTAACTTAAAAAAATAATAGCCAAAAGTTCAGCGGACTATTGACGATTTAGCGATTAACAACATAAGCAGTTGATTAAATAAACATTACATATTCAACTTTTCAGTTATATAAGGATTCTCAAATAAACTGATACATTTGTGTATATTGATAACTACATTGTACCTTTTTACATAGAACCACAACTTGAATTGTTATTGTAGAACAGAATAAAAATGTAATATAGTATAATAACTGTATGACAATAATATCAAAAATTCATTATAACTTTACATAATGATGTTATTGGACAATTTCTTTTGTTTGTTCTTATCAAATTTTGTCAGCTATAACCACTGTCAATTATCAACATTTCACACAGAACTGGAGTAGATCTAGGTCATATTAGCCTCTTGCAAACTCTTTCACAGAATGCAGCCTTTTTTCTGAATAACTTACTGAAAAATGTCATCATCACTAATGTAATACAAATTTTCTGCCATAATAGTAAAGATTTTTAAACAGAACATAGCTTATTTCACCTTTAAATAAATATCAAAATTATCGGTGTCGCGAAAATATGTGACAATCAGATTTTTTCATGTTTTCTGAAGAAATATTCACAATTTTGGTTGTTGTGCAAATAGTTGTTTGGAAGTTAATACTTTTTAAATATTTTACCATTGTTTTTCACTGGCAATTTTGTCAAGCAGCTTACAACAAAAAAAATCAAAATTTGCAATTACTGCAATTTACGGTAAATATCCAGTTTATCCATTTAAAAACGATTTTTGTGGCTAATTGACGGATATTTGATGGGTATTATAATGCTGGACAATATCTTTCAAGTACAATTTTACATGATACATCTCGCATGTCTTTTTATCACCTCGGGCAATATAGTAAGCAGCACATGACCGATAAAAAGTTGACACTCAATTTAATCCAGCCCGCTGGTGTTAATTGGGTCTACTGCATTCTTTATCGATTTTTACACCTTATATAAACACTTTTGGAAGTAAAAAATAATCGCCAGATTTTGTAGCCAAAATTGCAAAAATAATCGCCAATCTTATAAAATAATCACAAATGGCGACTGACAGCGTGAGCCCTGGACCTAATTGACCTGTGCCGAGTTGGTATAGTGCTGAGATGACTAGGGGCCGAGTTGACCCTTATTCAATTACAGTACACTTATAGGGGGAAGTCAAAGACCGGGCCCGCGAAGCGGGTCCGGGCTTTGGCTTGCACGGCTATAGACTACTGACTACACGTGTATATTTAAAAGAAAATCAAATAAAAAACAATTAAAAAATATATAGAATTCTATACCTATCAATGAAATTTTCAGTGTCAGTTCTAGTCGGGCGCCGCCATTTACAATGTAACTCAATGATAAAAGGCGGGGTATTCCGATAACGGAACAAATCTCAATTTTTCGGATAAATAATAAACGTCGAGTGAAATCGGAAGCGGTGCATGTAATACCGAATGACAATTTTAAAACGGAAAGAATGAAAGAAATTTTTTAACGACTTCCCCGTTCATAGGCTTTGCCTAATTTCATATAAAATTTTTTTAATTTTATAAAAGAATGAATTTGTAAATAATTTTATCAAGACTTTCTATAACTTCCTGAATGTAACTAAGATTAATTCAAGAAATTTCATTTTACAGCGACATTACAAATGATGTCAGATGATCATAAAATTCGAACTAAAATACAAATTATGACATGCGGACGATAAACATTGTCTCAAAATCTTTTGTGAGAAAAAAAAATACAAATACGAACTTTACAAAGCTGCTCTGATTTGGATAGTTGTTCAAATGGGTGCCTGCTGTGACATTTGGTACAGGCAAATAAAGCAGCCATTTTTTTCTTTAATTTGTCTCGTTTTTTTGCTTAAATGCACACAGTTTTTATAAAACTTTCTGTTGAAATGTTTGACTTTCAAACCGGAAGTCAAAATTAAACACCGGAAACGATCTTGCGCATGCTCTTCACGGTGCATGCAAATTGCCAATCGTGATAATTTGTGTATCTGTCACACATGTTAACTATTAAACATCATAAGGAATTGAAAATATAGAAATAAACTCTCTAACAAAAATGTCAAAGGAAACTTGCGACGAAGAAGTAGATCTAACCTATGAGGAATTTTTACTTGTCCATCAAAACCAATTGGAGAATTCATGTGTACCACAGCTGTACTGGGCAGCTCTTTTTAGAAAGTTGAAAAATGAGGTGACCAAGCTACCACCAGTTATTTGTAAGCCCAGCCAGCAGGGACTATGGAAAGTATTGCCATAGTGTAAATGTAATTCTTGAAATAAATATATATGTGTCTATATAATTTTTTTTCTGGAATTACTTTTTACACTATTACAGTACTGTGGCCATAGACCCCAACTTTTTTTACCAGTCCACAGTCAATGAATTTTAGATTTTGAAATTACTGCCCTGAATTCCAGTTTTGAATTATTCTACTGTATATTTAGCTAAATTTTCTTAAATTTTACACTGGCCTGAACTAATTTACACTGGCTATGGGCCCTTAGTAGTGAGTTGCGGGTGTGGACTTTTGTTTGTCAGACTATACACATGTATATTTTTTGTTTTAGAGGTGTCATTCGGTCTAATGCACTGTTTCCTTTAACAATCGGAACACCTTAATGATTATTCCTTAGCCTGAATTAGTTGCCGGATGATTTTCATTGACTTACATTAAAAAAATTAAACGGTGGTGCCCAACTAAGAAAGACACTGAAAATTTCTCTGATAGGTATAGAAATCTGTATATTTTTTAGTTGTTTTTATTTGCTTCCCTTTTAAATATGTATACAGTCAAGAGCTTTGGCAAGCAGAAGCCCGGGTCCACAAGGCCTTTGATTTCCCTGTAATATATTGATGGCAAAAACTCGTTATATCTTAGTCTTACTGTACTAAATGTGTTGTATTGAATTTACTGTCAAATGCCATAAAAAAAACCTCTATAATATAACTTTGATTACATCCATAAAACCATTTTCACATATCTCTTCAAAAATAAGTTTGCCAAACAAGTAGTTTGCAAAAATCACTATTATTTCATTGTAAATACCAATTTTTCTGCTTAAGACCGTCAACTAATCCTGCATGATTTCTTTTTTTATATTGTTTATTTAATTTATTGAATAACACATATAATTATGTAGAAGACTAATTACTCTGTATGTCACATGTTTTAAGCTTGATGCCTTGTATTTAACCCACACTTTGATTGTCTTTTATTTCAGATATTTGATGCTGGTGAGGTGTTCCAGATTCAGTGTGTTGAACAGGAGGTAGATGATGAGGTCAGTGAGGGAAATGAAGAAAATGCTGCCAGCAGAAATACTTGGAGAGTTATTGTCAATAATGAAGACGGGATCAAATGCATCGATAAAAAACAGTAAATTACTGTGTCTTTGTTCAATAATTTTCAAGGAACTAAACTGCAATTATTATTTCATTTTATGTATTAATTTTATTAGTAATTGCCTTATCTGTATTCCTGTCTGAGCCATCTTATAGTAAACAAAACAAGGCATTCCTTTCAATGGGGCAAATTAATGATTATCCTCTACACAACAAAGTACAATAGCTGTAGAAATTGCTCCAAGGTCAATTTAATTGGCCTGGGCATCAATCAGTCTGCAAAATCACTTTTGTTTTGTTTGAATTCTTAACAGTTTCTCTTTAAATTTGCAACAAATATTCACTATCTAAAACAATGTGTCACATGATTTGGGTCCTTAGCTCACAGAATTTAAAGACCAAACATCAAGTCTGTCTGTTCAGTCAATTGCCTTATCATTGTTTGAAGGAGTTTTGAAATTACTTGGCACAAACATTCACAAACATAAGACCTTGTTTTTGATGCAATACCCAGACCCATTACAAAATGACAAGGGTTAAGGCTACAGTGAGGTCAAAAGCTGAGAAAGGAGTCTTAGTGTCTTGTCCATACACTTTGTCATCCCTTGATAGATTTTGAAATTACTTGGCACAAATGTTCACTATCCTGAATCTAGCACAGATTCTTTTGTCAAGCATATATTCTGGATCTGTATTATGTAATCTTAAGTTGTATCATAGTTCTGGGACCTTTCTGATGAAAATGTGTCAAGAGTTAAATTGTATTCATATACATGCACATTGCGTGAACTGGTGGAGCACAGGAATTAGTTACTAGCACTGCAGAGCATACCCATTGATTGGCTAATTTTTTGGGGAGTTTACTTATTGTCACGGCAGAGAAAGGGATAGGGATAGAAAAAATGTTCATTGGTTACTTCTTTTCTGGGGTTTCATTTTGTGATAACGGGGAAAGTGTTATTAGTTTTGACTATGATGCAAAAGAGAAAGAACATCAAAACACTCAGCAATCTGATTTATACTGGGGGGGGGGGGTATTCCTTCTCATACAAATCAGATAGCAAAGTGTTTGGATGCTCTTTCTATTACTGAGACAATGTTCAATTAAAAAATAAATGTGATTAATCCTATTAATTTAGCAAAAACTTAGTTTTCAGTATTCCAAAGAAGGTGCATGTTTGTTAAATTTCTGATTTTTGAGTAGTCAGTCTTTAATGGGTGTTCTAAAGATTGCATTTATTTGATCTTCTTTAATATGAGTATGAAAAGTTTTCATTGGGGTAATTTTCTCTTGATCAGTTTTACAATAGTTCATGTATTGTAATGGGTATAGAAGTTTGATTGTATACTTTCAGTATTTACCTTATTGATCATGCATGGACATATCGTGTACATGAAGCAAGGCAGTACTTGATGCAAGTAGCAGGGCTGAAGGAGAGGATGTGTGCATTGATGGACGTCCCAATAGAAAATAGAGAGGAGAAAGAAGTAATAGATGATATACTGAAGGAAATGTGGAAGTTAGTCTTTATGTTAACTTGTTAAAACTTGTAGTACAATGTTTTAGACATTTGTTTCCTTAATTGGTAGTTTAATAATTGAGCATTATTATCTAATATTTCTGTAAAAATTTACAAAACTTAACTTTAACTGTTATGAATTAGATAGTAAGGGACGAGTCTTGATTTTGATTTGGGACAATCCATTGTTAAGGATCTCAATGTTAAAATGCTGTAAACTTTGAAAATCAAGAGCAGACTGGTATGACTATTCAACTAACATTGTAAGGTAAAGTAAGTCACTTTTCACACTGTATTCTAAGAGGTAGAGAAAGTTTGTATTGTGACAGATTGTTTAAAAAAATATATTTGTCTTGCAATTATTGCCATTTGTGATGATGGCTAGTTAAATATTAGTGGTGCAACATTAAAATAAAGATATGTTGTTAAATTGCGATACATTCAATCATTATTGTCGCAATACATTGAATATTGAGAAACAATGTAAACTAAAGGTACTGTTTACTTTTGAAATGTTAAAAGCTTAACAAACGTTTGATTACCCTTTTTTGAAATATATTGAAAAGAATGTTTTTGATACTTTAAACCTTTATAAAACAATAAGAAATAAATTATTTTTTATATTTACAAAGTTGCAATGCTTTTAATAGTCAAAATACTTATGTGGTATATCTTGATCTAAAAAGACAGATAAAAATCACTGTATGAGTTATGTATATGCGGATTCTCCATTACAGTGTATACATTAGTTTAATAACAGTTTATAGTTGCAGTGAAGTATTTTGTTATTAAATGTATTTCTTTTACACATATTTTAGGTTTAATAACACATACAGTATTGGGAACTATGAACTAGTAAGTTATGATATTGCACATTGCTATAACATCATTGTAAGCATAGGATTAGTTTTTTTCTGAGAGTAGTGCAAGTTTTTTGCTAAGGCAAAGAATGAAATTTTGAACCAGCACTGAAAGTTTTCTTAAACCTTGTATGATTTTACCTGAGTCAAAGTGGCAGCTGGAGCAATCGGCATCCACCACTTTCTTTAATTTACTTGTTAATACTTAATTACAACATTCAATCGCTTTTAACTCACCAGAATCAAGAGTTAATGCTTTACTATTGACTGTCATTTCATATTCAATTTCCAATGCATGTTCATCTGATAAGGAATTTATCCATTTCTTTGCAAGTTTCCTCAGTGAACACTTTAATATTAGTACATAGAGAGATAAGAATGTGTTTCAATAGGCTTAAGATTGTTATTGAATGTCTTAAGTTATTTACAGAAACATTATGGTATTAAAACAGCCTTCAGCTTTTATTTTCTGTTCGGAAAACAATTGGGAAAACAATTCTGTGTTGTTTCGAACTAAGTATTTCAGTAATTTTAGCTTGGAAAAATACATCATATCATTGTTAAACCTTTTTCAAAACAATGATCCGAGGACTATTTATAACATGTCAGTGACATTCATGTCTAAAATTGAAGATTTTCTAATATAAATATATAGAGTGGATCGGTAGATAAGAGGTATTGAGACAAAGGGGGTTTCCTTATTGTTTATGTATTTTCCATCTTAATTCTTTTGATTTGACAATTATATGATTTTGTTTTGTTTGTTTTGGGTTTTACGTCACATCGACACAGTATAGGTCATATCGCGACGTTCCAGCTTTACTGGTGGAGGAAGACCTCAGGTGCCCTTCCGTGCATTATTTCAGGCACGAACGGGCACCTGAGTAGAACCACCGACGTTCCGTAAGCTAGCTGGATAGCTTCCTCACATGAAAGAATCCAAAGTCCCTGTCGGGATTCGAACCCACAGCGGTGAGGGGCAAGTGATTTGAAGTCAACGACCTTAACCACTCGGCCACGGACGCCCAACAATTATATGAAATGATTTATCTAAAAATAACATATTTAAATGCTGAAGGTCACTTTATTAACATTCCTGTATAAGTATATAATTTCTGTATACAGGGTACAAATGAGCGTCTTCCTATATGGTATGTAATGGATGAGTTTGGTTCCCGTATTCAACATTCAGACATGCCTTCATTTAAGATGGCACCTTTCATGTACGGACCACAAAATCTGGCATTTTCTATCATATGGCCAGTTAGAGATTTGGAGAAAGGAGGTGTGTATAATTTAAATATTTATTATGCAAGCATCTTTACAAATAATTCAATTCTTTATAATGTATGAATGATACCAGGTTTAATAATAGTATCAACTATAAGTTTATGTCTTACATATTTAAGAATTTTCATCTTAAGCAGAGTACATATGTAGCATGTTACTTCATATACATTGTTGATGTTTTTTAGTACAATATCAATAACACATTCATTTGATAACATAAAAAACATTTACAATTTAAGTTCAATATTTTGCTTGGTGAAAAAAAAAAGATTGACCATTTAGCTATCTGTACTTCTTATTACATTGTATGCCTGTAACATACGGTAAGTGATACACTGTATGATTGATTATATACATATATCAGTATTAATTTTACATGATAAGTATGTTTTAACTATTATGTATTATATTAAGCATGTCTGTTTCTAAGAAAAACTGCTATGTTAACGTTGCTGTCATTAAAATAGTAAAGTTACTATGATAGCAATGCAAGTTCATTATTGCTTGCTATACAAGTAAATTATTATAATACATTGTTTGTGTATTCTAAAGTGTACATTGTTTTAATTGTTAGAGCTCTACTTCAATAATTTTCAGAGGAAGTAACCAGAGATTATGTACCAAATATTCAGCATCCAGTAAGGAGAAAAGCTCTACTGTTACCCTGGATACCGTGTGACTTTACAGATATTTCATATGAACAACCAGAGCCTGATCCTTCTTTTTTCTCTGTAAATATTTGTATCATACTAGTATGATCATATGTGTGGAATTAATTCTTCTGTGTGAAAATGATTTACAATGTAGATATTAGTATGAAAAGAGATAGAGGAAATTTCAATATTTAACAATGGTATTAAAGTTATGTGCAGCTGACTGTATAGTGGAGCAAATCCTTCTTCACTATACTTTTAATATTTTATTCTTTTAAATATTAAGATGGAACATGTGAAATATAAGTATTGAAAGTTGCATTATAAAAGGCAGAAATTTTTAATAGTTCTCTTTTTTTTTGACAATGAACATTTGAAATATAAGTATTGAAAGTTGCATTATAAAAGGCAGAAATTTTTGATAGTTCTCTGTTTTTTTGACAATATTCATATTTACATGTAATTTATATGACCCTCAAAATGGTGGCCATGGAAGGATATTCATACTATGTGAAAATCTGATATTTTACTTCCATACTTTCCTCTAATATTTCTTTAGAATTATGATATCCAATGACATTCAGTTAAAATTTTACTGTATAACAGGCACACAGGATAGAAGAAGACACAGGACCAGGTCTGACAGATGTTCCTCCACTACCTACTGACAGGAAGTTAAAAGTTTGTCTAGATTACCCACAATCCCCAGAACTGACGGACAGCAGGTTTGTAATGGTGGAAACTGGTGAAGAGGCAGACATTCTCTGGACACGCCATAGCTTCAAAGAGTATTGGTATGTTAACATGACATCATGTTGACTTGATGAAAAATGACAACTGTGCCACAAATTCTAAAATAAAGTGCGTTCTAGAATAGGGATTATGATAAACATTATGCATTTTACACACAAAAATGGTAGTAATTGATATATATGGCTTATATTATTATATTTTGTTTTCCTTGTTATGAAATTTAACAAAGGTTATTATATGTATTTCAGTTCCCTTTATGGTGGAGGCACTTACAAATACATTAATCAGTTTCCAAGTGAACAGTGTTTAACAGTAAAAGATTTGTTACCAATTGTGTGTCGACGAGCAGGGAGTGGAAAGTTTGATCCAGAAACCCTGGAAGGTTCACCAAAATGGTTGCCAGTCTCATTTAATCTAAATACTGAAATGGACAAATTTGTTTCCTACTTTCAACACCGAGAAGAAAAGTAAGATTCATATTTTTTTATATGATCATTCTGTATATTAACAACGTTCAGTAAGTTGTACAATTTAACTAGCTTACTGTTTTGAATTTGTAGCCTATAATATTAGTGTGATTCAGTAATAAAATGATGGTATGTTTATGAGCATGGTGCCAGTACATAATTTCTAGTAAAAATTAATTCTATGCAAGTAGAAATCACTGGTATCACAAAATGGAAGACAAAATAGCCAAACCAAGGGACTGAACAACTAAACCCCATAACAAATGTATTGAACTATCATAACACTCAGAAAATGAGGTGATGATTCATATCGGCTGATAACAAGTTATCATTTCTGCTTGTTTGGTCTAAATTGTTGTTGCAGTGAATAAATTAATTACTATTACAGAGGTTTGGATAATGTGTGGATTTTGAAGCCCTGGAATTTGTCTAACTCAGCAGACATTACAGTTAGTAATGATATCAACCAAATTGTACGCTTCTCTGAAAGTGGACCAAAGGTGAGTCTATAAAATGTAGTTAAATAATTGTTCCACTTTTCATTTGCAATTGATCATTATGTGTTGATGACTTTTCTATGCCTTCCATACTGCTTTCTTCTCTCTGTTGGCCGACAACTTTAACTTCAGCCTTTATCTTGTGTACAACATACCTGTGAACAAGAGCTTCATTGTACATTTTTAAATACGACCCTTGCTCTTCAAGGTCATATACTAACATGAGCACTGCAATTGCCCTGGCAACATTCATCTGTTTTATGGCAACAACTAAAAGAAATAAATTTGAGTGTGTGTGGTGATGCGAATAATTGCTAATGTGTAACAGTAATGTATTAATGAAATTCTTGTAGGTCTCACTTGCAGATATGATTAAATTGTTATGTATGTATTATCCTACATGAAATCATGGAAATATTATATATTTATAGATAGCATGTAAGTACATCTCGGACACAGTTACTATTTACAGAGAGGACATCAAGTCAGATGTGAAGGTGGACTTTCGTTTCCTTGTGTTTATGGCCAGTAAAAATCCACTAAAACTTTGGGTGTATAAACCATTTAGTGTCAGAAGGGGGCACAAGTAAGTATAAGTAGTTGGCACCATGATAGTACTTGTGTTTGCTTAAAGGGACTCCGCTGAAGTTTTTTGACATGACTAACTGGAAATAATTTTTGGTGAACAATGTTCCATTTGATGTAGACCAATAACCACCTGTGTACAAAATTTCGCTTACTCTGTTTTTTTTTGTTTTTTTTAAATAATCATTCTAATTTTGAAAAGTACTGAAAATTGAAATATTTTCTTTCAAATTGGGCTAAGAATAGCTCAAAAATACAATTTCCAATTTATACCCAAGTATATTGTCCCATTTGATCAATGTAAGTATTTCAAATTTTATGTTTTTAGGCTTTTGGACCTCAGTGGAGTTCCTTTAATTTTTTTTTCCAGTTGTCAGATATATAGAAAACAATATACTTTGTATGTTGTGGTTTTGCAAATATATTAAGTTTAAATGTTGTATGAAGTTTGATAAGTTGAGGAACATTGCTTTTACTATATTTTGTTAGTGAAGGAATGTGAGAATGCTAATTAATTATGAACATTATTATTATTAGTGACAAGTGAAGCCAATAAATTTCAAATTATAAAATTTCCAAGATATTACATGTATGTTTTAAACTTAAGTCTTAATTAGCTTGAAAAAGGGGAGTTGATACCAGAAACTAGTTATAATAAAATTTTAAACTAGTTCCAATGTCATGTGTTCCTCTCATATTATTTACATTTAGTTAATTCTTTATAGTTTATATTTGTTTATAGTGATGGTTTAATCATAATTTCAGACAGTATGAGCTTACCGACTTTGATGATTTCTTGAGACATTTGACATATGTTGGTCTCTATGAATATAACGTATACAGACCTGGTGTAAGTGTTTCTATTTTCCATATTTACTTGCATATCTTTGTCTCAGAATTGGACACTAAAAACCTTGAGATGATGTATGTACTTACAATTTAATAATAGATAATAAATGTTCAGTAATTGTTTATAAACACGTGATTACATCACACTAGATTAACTAGGATTTTGATAAAGAAACATTTCTTCCATTTGCCATTACAAGAGTGTCTGACTTTAATAATTTGATTTTTCCTTAATCTAGGTCATAAAATGTTGACTATGTTTTTATATTTTTTGAGTCATGTTTGTATATTTGTATGTTGATGACAATTGTTTATTTGAACATATGGACAGATGTATACAGAACAGTTTATAGAACCGTTTGAAGCTGAAAATCCAGGATTTAAATGGGAAACTATAGAGGTATATTTTTATTTTTATAATTATCTGAATAAAAGAACTGATCATTTAAAATATCTTATTGTTTGATGTTGTGTGTTGAAAGCAGCATACCTCCAGATTTATGCTCATTTTCATTGAAATTTTGAAAATGTATTAAAAGTTAAATACATGTATTGTTAAGTGAACAAAGAAAGTAATTAAGACATTGCAAACATCACTCATAACCCCAATTACCAAAAAAGAAGGTTAAAATATGCAAAATAGCCCTACTGCATTTTGGTAAATATCACCAAAATCACTTATTAATTGCATAAATATGTAAATTATTACTTGAAACTTTTTTACTTTCCTTAATATCTCAGAACATTTTTCTCTAGTTTGATTATCTTTGAAATATTTTGGCCTTCAACTGAAGGCATGCAGCTTTAATAGATAATGTGACAGCCAATTGGCACCTGTGTTACTTTTTTTTTCCAACCAAACAGGCCATTTCTGAGACATACTTGCTATGTTAAATACAGGCCAAAAGATAACCTAGGATATTGTTTAACAATTGAAGATAACATAAAAGTATTACAAAGGAATGGTTTTATTTGTTATTTAAGGCTGAAATACACAAGATGTTTCTGGAAGTATTCCAGGCAGCAACCAGTAAAGATCCCCCAGCAGGATTGGACATTTTCCCCTCTCTAGGGCCGTTTTTATGGTATTGATTTACTGTTACAGTGGAGCACAAATGAAAAAAGGTAAATTAAATGTTTTATTTATGCTAATGGTTTTATTCAGATGAACTCTGTATTCAGATGAACTCTGCGTCTTGGTCTCTGGTACAATGAAACTTGGTGTACAGCAAGCTTATGTAAGAGACTTGCTTTGGATTGTATTTGGGTCCCCCTACAGTCAAAGACACTGTAATACTAGAAATAAAAAAATAATCTGTTTCCCGTTTGAATAAGATATATCATTCCAACCTTATATGAAAATCATCTGCTGTAATTACAAAATGCTTGCTTATTTTCTTTTAGTTTTACTTCATTATTTATGATTTACATTGCACATAGTTACATTGTAACATTGCTTATTTAGAAAGAAATCACAAACAAAATTATACATGTAGGTGTATTTTCACTCTTATTACACTACATGTATATCTTAAATGGACTTGTCCATCTTACATTCTGGACATAACCGTTTATTATGTTTAGTGCAAATTCAAAATATCTGACTGAACAGCTAACAGTTTAGACCATGATCAGACGGCAAAGATGTAAATTCAGTTCCAGCCAGCAGGGTAAGGGTTAACATCAATGCTACATGATTTATATACTATATATATAACATGTAGTTATAATGAAATCAGATAACCCTTTTCCTCTTAATCTTGTAGGGAGAAGTATGTACAGCCGATGTTGAGTGAGGTTAACTTTGCCTGTGATTACACAAGCTGGATGGAAGAGTACCCAGAAATGTTAAATGATGCATTCAGTACATTATTCTCAATGATATCAAGGGGCGGGAAGATAGAGTCATACCTTTGTCATGACACAATATGTAAACCAGAAAAAACAATTACATGCAGGTGGACAAAATATCATGGAAGCAAGATATTTTCCAAAAGCACATGTCAAATAGTAAATAGCCTGCGAGCTTGAAAATGTTTTAGTGAGAAAATATTAAATTACTAAATGAATATTATTACTCATTGAATATTTTTTCATTAAACTGCAATAAGAACAGGTTTTAACGTTTTTAAGTTCGACTATTTGAACAAAAGTTGGGCTAAACTACTTACCCAGTTATACATGCAACTCTTTTACAATATCATATGTAAGCAAATATTAATAATACATGTACTTTCTTGAACTACACATTTATATTGGATCATCAAAGGTCACAATTCAAGGCTCATAACTCTAGCATGAATTTTAACTGAATTACGGCCCTTCATGCACTTGAAAATTTCCTGGTTAAAGTTTTGCATGCAAACATCGTCTATCTTCCAAAATTCTGAAGGTACATGTATCCACATGAAACTAGATGCAATGCTTTTGGATCATAATTGGCGGTGGATGTAAGTTGCACATACTGGTAACTCTTGGCATGAAATTTTAATGAAATACATCCATTTTAGAGATAGTAATTCTAGGGTCAATTTGCAAGACTCGTTTACTACGTCAAGTATTTTTTAATGAAAATTTGTTAATTCTTACACTATTCAGGCTGTTATTTTACTATCAACTATTGAGAAATTTTCGAGCAAACTCTCCTACCGACCGTCCTTGTTTTAATAACACATTCAATATTTTATTTTTTCATTTAATATAGGTTATACAAGAAAAATTTGAAATGAGCTTAAATCAGAATCTTATTTTACATTACTGTATAAATAATTAAACTATTAATTGTTAAACATATGTTATTTCACCGTAATAAGACAGACACCTGTCTAATCATTTAATTTTACTGTAATAACAACAAAGTAATTTGTTAAGATATTTTTATTTCATTAATGATAAAATTGTTTTGAAAATAGATTTTAACAAAGTGTCAATTGTTTTATTACATTGCATGGTATGCAGAAGACAGCCTAATACACAATTATATAATGTGCCAAAAAAGTTTTGAAAAAAAAAAAACAACAACACATCTACATTAGATGGTAACCTGTAAAAAAACAGGTACAAACAAGATGCAAAACTGAAAACTAGGGCTGTCATTGAATATCGCAATACAGATATATTGTCAATATTCTTCATCCGATACAATATCGATACAAGCTAAAATTCATTTCCGTTAGTAAAATATACCTCTATTTTGCCTAATTAGAGAAGTAACTTTTTTTCCAGTTTTCTGGGCTTACTTGGAAAATGTCAGTGACAAAAATAACAGAAAAACACTTTGGTTAGTTAGTAGTATTTGTAATGTCTAATACAAGCATGCACAACACAATGATCCAAATTTATAACACATATTTCAATGTTTTTCATTGAATCTATGTTCAAAGTTAATACATGATGTCATCAATATATCATTGATATTTGTCTCTGGATATATTGATACAAAATTTTTCATCAATGACAGCCCTGCTAAAAACAATATATAATTTTAAGGTTAAAGAGACCTTGAACTTTTACCAGTTCAATGCTTATACAAGTTTCGTAAATACCAATTACCTAAGATTCTTAATAATAGATGGTTTCAAATGAAAAAGTATGAAACCCTTTTGCATCCTAGGTAACCTTGATTCCTATGAAAGATGCAATATGAAGTAAACATTAAAACAAACAGGAGCCAAGTCTGAACATGATCAAACATTAAATAAAGTTATAGCAACATATAATAAATTTTAAAATATGACCTCGATAGGCAAGTTGGAAGTCCTGGAGAATTCAGAAAAATCAATAGGTCTAATACAGTTATAAATGACTGTATATGAATGTACTTGCACAATAAAGACATCTAAAATAACTGAGTTTGTTTTATCTTAATTTGATGGTATTGACGCAAGTAATTATTTCCGTTTCTAGATAGTTTCTTGTAAAATCAAGATTTTAAAACTTGTCTTGCACACAAAAATATATATAAATTATCAAGAGGATCTTAGCAAAGCTCTCAACTTTTTTTAACTGTCGTAATAATTTGTTTTCAGTCACACAAGGTTTTTTGGTGACTTTCCATCTTATCTGGTGCAGGAAAACTTCTGATAAAACTACAGACCTTGTGTAATGTAGCAGGGTAGCAGGATAGTTTTCTCACATAGATATAAAAATAAGTCCCTAACAAGATTCCTACTCACAATGGTGTGAGACAAGTCTTTGAAGTATCCATGTAACAAATATTTAATTTTATTAATGAGTTTGCATATTTCATTGAAAAAAATAATGAGTCCCATATCTTGGTACATATTTGATCTTTCTTAAATAATTTATTCCTCAACTTCATTTTATTTACTGAGATTAATGTGTGTTGCCAGAGGGACTTCAAAATTGCTGGCTCTAAAGCAAAAAGATTTAATTTACATTGTATATTTTCTACAGAATTTTCCATCTTCAAGTGTTCTGATTCTTCTACAGTTTTCTTTGACTTTTTAGGACTGGTACCTGGTTCATTATTGCCTTTATTTTTGTCTTTTTAATCCCTTCATTTTTCTTGTCTGTAGGTTTGCCAAGTCTTGTTTCTGCATATTAGTATTCTACCGAGCTGGGAACCAAATGCATCCTGGGATATGTTCTTCCTCTTCTTCACCTGAAAAATAATTTTACAATATTACCCTTGACATGTTCACTTCTGTATTTGAAATTTAATTGAATGTATCATCAATATGAAAAAGCTTAAGAAGAGATTATTTCATGTTTGGTCCATTGTGACAAAAGAGAACTGTACTTTATCATTTCATTTCTTTGAAGTAGAATCTACTAAGGTTATGGTATCAGTAAAATACTATAAATTAGGCCTTTTTATTTGCAAATCTATGAGAACAACATTACTGTAAAGATCATTTTACAACAGTATAGCCATTTATAGAAATTTCAAGAGAAATGACAATATGGATGAAACTTAATAGAATATTTGACTGGTAAACATCAATTCTTCCTTTGTATGTATGTATAATGTATGATCTCGGGAATTCTAATGAAGTTGTACTAAATAACTTTATTAAAAAGTCATCACATGTCTATTTTAATAAATAAAGTACTACTTGTACATTAGAATATTAAGAATAATAACTATACAGAGAAAAGGTTTATATCTTACAGTAGCTGTTTTTGGTTTTCTTAAGCTTCTCTTGTATAAATCATCTGAGGCAATCTTAGTTCTCCTTAATGTCAGGTCTATAGAAGGTCCCATATCTTCTAGTTCTATACGAGGTACTTTACTACCAGACTTCTTTAATATAATTCTGAAGTAACAGAGAATACAGAACAATTATTAGTCAAGACCGTGGCAAAAACA